CTCCTGCAGCTCGGTGCCCAGGGCCCCCGCTAGATGGTACACGAGCTCTGCGGCCGTCTCAGCCCCCGCGGCCACTCGAGGCCTCCAGCTATGCTCCCCAGGCGCCGCCCTCCTGGGCTCCATGTCCCCCGAAGGCCAAGGGCTGCGACAGCCACCGCCCCCAACCCTAACTGGGGCAGGAAAAAGCCAAACAGCTCCCGCCCAGGAAACAGTTTAGCGCAGGAGAGGGTGGGGTAGAAGCGACTGGGGAGGAGCGATTAAAGAAACAGCGTGGGGGAAGGAGACAGTGCCCTGGGCCCCCTGGGCCCGGTTCAGTTCAAGTCCCCAAGGTCACAGGAAGCAGGACAGCCAGCCTCCAGCCAGGCGTCCAAGAGCTGAGGCTCGGGGCTGTAAGTGGTCACTTTGTTATGCCCTCCCCAGTGCCCAAGCCAGGCTCCACCCCTGTGCCTGGAGTCACGGGGCCCCACTGGGCTGCCAACCACACAGGGCAAGAGGTGAGGAGTCGCTGGGCTGTCACTGGCCTCAGCCACAGAGCCAACTGTCCAGGCATGTGCCTGTGCCCTGACCAGGAGTGACAGAAAGCTTAAGGGGCCAGGCTGGCACACAGCTGCAGAGAACAAGTCACAAGCTTCCTGGCTCAGGAAATGGCAACTGCTCCAAGGGATGATTTGCAAGTATTTTGGAGCAAAATTGGCAAATGTGGTCAAGGTGGTAGGAGTGTGAAAGCCCAACCCGCATATGTCAGTTTCCAGTGTCTACTGGATATTTAGCCCCACAACCCCTGAGGGGTCCTCCTTTCCCTTCAGCTGCCAATCCTACACCCAGAATTTGAGCTCAGAGGGGGAAAACACTGAAAAACTCCCAATTTATACAAAATTTATTATACTGTTCAGGATTACAGGTCACCAGGAGTCAACAACACAACAAGCACAAAATAGAGGGAAAAGGGGCCAAGCTGATGAATGTCACCAGCTAGTCTGTGGGAGGTGGGGCGAAGTCTCCAGCCTGTGGGGAGTCTGCAGCAGGAGGTGAGGACACAGCTAGGCGTAGAGGTCCTCTCGGTCCGCAGAGTAGACCTCCCCCTCCTGCAGGAGGGCGAAGTTGAGGAAGTGGGACGGCCTGTGCACCTCGTGGTAGAACTCTTTGGGGTTTGCCAGCTGCAGCTCATACTTCATGTTGGGATCATGCCGTACACCTTGGGGTAGATAAAAACGTCCAATATTAACAAGGTCCACCTATCTCACCCAGCTGGGGCCCCTGGGCCATCTCCAAAACAGTCAGGCCTCAAGTGCTAAGGATGAGGGCCTAACCCAGTGATGGCGAACCTTTTGAGCTCGGCGTGTCAGCATTTTGAAAAACCCTAACTTAACTCTGGTGCCATGTCACATATAGAAATTTTTTTATATTTGCAACCATAGTAAAACAAAGATTTATATTTTTGATATTTATTTTATACTATTAAATGCCATTTAACAAAGAAAAATCAACCAAGAAAATGAGTTCGTGTGTCACCTCTGACACGCGTGTCATAGGTTCGCCATCATATTAGCCTTTTATTATATAGGATATTTAAATGCCATTTAACAAAGAAAAATCAACCAAAATGAGTTTGCCTGTCACCTCTGACGCGCGTGTCATGTTCGCCATCCCTGGCCTAGCCCCAGCCCCTTCCCTGAGCTTCCGCACTCACCCATGAAGTTGTAGTTCCATGAGGACTGGGCAGGGACCATAAAGAAGCCGAGGAAGCGGTCTGACAGCAGCATCTGGACCCGCTCATAGTGCGAAGGCAGGTAGCCCTTGGGGTTGTTGCCCTTGTCTGTGTTCTGGCGGCCCCATTCATAGCCACTGGGGGTCAGCTTGTAGGCCGTCAGTGTGCAGGAGCCTGGTGTGAAGCTGAAAGAGGGATGAGGATAAAGTCAGAGCTTAGGCCACCATTCTGGGTCCTGGCCTGCAATGCTGGCCCATTCATACTTTCCATGGGGGCTCAAGCCCACCTGCAGGTGATGATGATGGTTTTCTCGCCATCCCAAGATGGGTTGTCAGCCATGATCTTGGCATGGGTGGTGACATCCTGGGGCGATAGCTGGGGGGACTCATTGGGCTGAGTGTGGATCCAACCTAAGGGTTCCATCTCCTATAGGCAAAGAGCAGTAAAAGATGATTTAAAGCCCTATCTGCAGACAGGAATCCCACTCATGAAGGTAAGGTCTGCCTTCCCTCCCCAACCCTCGCAGCAGAAAACCCCCACTGACCTTGAGATACTCATGCTGGGGCAGCTGGTTAGGCAGGTGCACAGTCTGGTGGGTACCCCACTGTGGTACCATCACGATGCAGCGGATTTCCTTCACCTGGGGGTTATCTGGTGGGCTAACCCCATACAGGTATCCTGCAATCTGGAGACAAGGGGATCAAGAATCAAAATGATTCTTAGTACCAGCCTAGACCTGGGCTTTTAGCCGTTTCCTTCCCTTCCTTAAGAACAAGTTTCTCAAAATGTGTTCAGAATCTATCACATCAGAATCACCTGAGACCCGGCTGGTGTTTCTCAGTGGCTGAATGTCGACCTATGAACCAGGTCACATTTGATTCCTGGTCAAGGGCACATGCCCAAGTTGCGGGCTCAATCCCCAGTGAGGGGCATGCAGGAGGCAGCCAACTGATTAGTCTATCATTGATGTTTCTATCTTTCTCTCCCTCTCCCTTTCTCTCTGAAATAAAAACATGTTTGCTTGTTGTTAAAAAAAAAAGAAAAACCTGGGTGCTTGGTCACAACATTAAACATGGACCTTATCTCAGAATGACCACATCAGAATCTCCTGAGTGGGGTCCAGGAATCTGCACTGCTCCCCAGTTGATTATGTAAGTATAGTATCTATAAACAAATGAAAATTTCTTTAAAACCAGCAATAGGTGGTATTTTAAGTTTTACAAAGTTAAGAGGACCTGTGTTCCTATAAATCACCCACACAGAATATTAACAAACTTTTCAAATTCACCAAACAGGCCATAAATGGTGTTTTACAACACGTGAATTTCCCTAGTTACCAGTAAAGGTGAGCATTTTTTCATATTATACTTGCCACCTGTAGTTCCTTTTCTGAACTACATCTGTAATCTTTGCCCAATCTTCTATAGTTATCTTTTTTAAAAAAATCAACTTCTGAGAATTCCCTATTCTAGATCTTAATCCATTATATGTATGGTTATGCAAATAATTTTTGTTTTTAGGGTATCTGTTGTGGTACCCTTCGACACACAAGTTATTCATTTTGACTGTGGTTTTGTGCTTTGTGTCTTATTTAGAGGGCTATCCCAAAACTAATAAATGTTTTCCTCTAATATTATACAGTTTATTTAGTATTTTAAATAGATATTTATTCCACCTGGATTTTATTTTTGTAAGCAGTGTGAAATAGGGATCTAGATTACTTTTTCTGATTGCTTCAATATCATAAGGTATCCTTAATCCTACAGACTTGATATACCGTATTTATTATATGCACATGAATGTTTCTGTGTAGACACTATTCTCTTAATTGCCATAACTTTATGTTTTGATATCTGGTGGGGGTCAAAACCCTCCTTACTGGAGTTCGACCAGGGGGCAGGGTGGTCCGCCAACCGCGCCCCCTCCCCAGGTTAAATCAGCCTGATTTGTGCGGGGCGGGCCAGGCTGGAGCCCACCCATGCACAAATTCATGCACCGGGCCCTCTAGTCCTTGTATATTTTCTTTTCTTTTCTTTTTTTTAAAATATATTTTATTGATTTTTTTTACAGAGAGGAAAGGAGATAGTTAGAAACATCGATCAGCTGCCTCCTGCACACCTCCCACTGGGGATGTGCCCGCAACCAAGGCACATGCCCCTGACCGGAATCGAACCCGGGACCCCTCAGTCTGCAGGTCGACACTCTATCCACTGAGCCAAACCGGTTAGGGCATATATTTACTTTTCCACGAATCTTGAAACCTCAAGTTCCAGGAAACCTTAGGTGAGTTGTAGATACATAAAATGTTTGGCTAACACCGTGGCCCAGCTGAGCACACTTACTCACTTGGGCCCGAAGGTCAGATATGCAGATGAACTTCTTAAGCACATTCTTGGGAAGGATATAGGTGTAACCAGTCTCCTTGATGTCATCAGATGAAACATAGATGTGATTGGTCCTTAGGTGCAGGTTGGCAGCAGAGATGGCCCTGAAAACAGGTAGGAATGTCAGCATTTCTCAACCCAAGCACTGTAGGTAGCCCAGCAGGCCCTTCCATCCCTACCCCTTTGGCCCCTTACAGTACCTGACCCTCCATTCAGTTTTTGATGAGAAAGTCTGGGTCTCATAGTTGCTGGTGGTGGAGGTGATGATCTCATCCCCGTGCTTGTTAACAGTACGAGTCTGTGTTGCCGTCAGCTGTGACTGTTCCTTGGTCTGCTTCTCAATCTCAGCTATCTGCTGCCGCTGCTGTGACGGTGCGGAGATCTCCATCCCCAGGATGATGTCTCGAATCTCTGATTGTGTCAGTGAGGCCACATTCACACTGAGGGGACAGTGTGGGTCACACAAGGGTCCCTTCCCCTCGGTCACTTATGCCTCAATGGCAAGAATGTAACTTGGGTACATGGGAACCCATATTATCCCAGACAATCATCAAGTGACACTTGTAAAGGAAGTGTGAAGTGCAGAGGTACTAATACTAACACTGCCACACCCCAGGATGCCCTGTGCAGGTGCACTTTCCAGCCAGGCTCAAACCTGCTCAGCATCCATACCTCCCCTTTTCCCTTGATAAAAAGTGCCCTAGCGCAGGACAATTCTCAAAAACAGAAACCCTGAAACATGTTCTCAGAGCTGGTACTGTCAGTCAACCTAGGGGATACTTGAAAAGCTACAGAGACCTTTGGTTCCCACAATTACAGGGAAGGAGAGGGAAGAAAGGTATGTGTGTGCTATTAGCAGTGGGACCTCAGGGCCTGGGATGTTAAAACTTCCTGTAATGCATGGACAGTAAAGAAATGCCCTGCTCAAAATGGCAATAGTGCCTCCACTGAGAAACAAGGCCCAAGAGTCAGAATGAAGCCCCAAAACACAGACTCTTCCTTCACTATCTGAACACATTGTTTGCGGGTAG